CAAAGCCAGTGGATAAAGCCAAAGTAAGAGGTCAGAGTAATAATCTCTATGCTCAAAAAGCTGAACCACCAGGTATTTTTTTACTTAAGCAAGCTATAAATATATAATTCTACTCTGACACAAAGCTGCATAGAAGAAAAGTTGACATCATCTTTAATGACTTAAGAAAGAACTCCTGTATTTAATTTCAGTCTGTTCATGTCACACTAGAACAACCATTCTTCTTTTAATATGGCTAGCATATATCACAGGTGATTGCTTCTCAGAACTGAGTATGCTGAATTATATTTGGGACTCTTTTTTTTTTTTCCCCCCCGTGGTCATGCTGTGGTGTATCTCTAGATTTGAGTAAAGGACAAATCTTGATTTACATTCACAGTAGATGGTGATATGGTTTATGCTGATCTTTAGCTCCTACAGGAATTTTTCCATTGGTCAATCAGCTTTCAAGGAAGGAGGCTCCACAGCAGGCCCTGTACATGGTACTATTTGTGGCCTCTGTCTGGGGATAGTATTTCATCATTTTTTCACTGTGTTTTGCTTTACTTTTGTATGTACTGTGGTTTCAGCCCCTCAGGAGACACTCCACAGAATCTGTTGCTTAGTAATAGTAACCTTCATGGAAATTAGCTTGAACTTCAAATGAACAAAACATCTTTCATTAGTCACAGGTTTTCAGATAATGAATTCCTCTGAGAAAGTTGATTAGAAAAGCCAGCTTTCCAGAATCGAGTACCACCAATGTTGACCTAAGATGAATTACAAAGGTTAGTAATGCTCTTGAAAGAGACATTTCTTTGTACCCCTTATATTATATTCAAGGTTCTTTCTACCAACATCCAGGCTCACTTTTACAATACCACTAACAAAGTGAAGTTTTATGCAAGTGGAATCAGCCTCTCATATAGAATAAAGCCAGAAAGAGTTACTGGGGTCAGTCTGGCCTCCTGTGTAATATAAATCACATTAATTAATTATTGTTCTAACAAAAGCACCTCCTAAAAAAAAAAAAATCTCAAATGTAAAATGCTTTTTTATTTTTTTTTTTCCTTAAAGACCTCTTTTAGTTAAAAGAACTCCTGTTGCATGACAAGGAAGAGGGGTTAAGGACCGGAGAGGCACCAGAAGAGCTGCACGCTCCCGCTGAGAGAATCAGAGACAGGGACCTACACCCTCTGTGCTGTGAGCAGAGAGTCAGCCACCTCTGCAGGCTGTCTCAGGTCAACCACCCAACATAAAAGCAGCTGCACAGAGCCACTCAGCAGAAATGCTTGGCAGGACTGACGCCTTCCTGGCTCCCATTCCCCGCTGAACCTACCTGAAATCCTGCATTTCATCTGAAGGGAAGGAGGGACATAAGTAAAAAGAACTCATCTCCTTTAAAACACGGTCAAGGACTAATCTCTCAGCCTGATGGCTGGTGCATGCTGCTGGAGAGGCAAAGGGAGGTCTGATGTGGTCCCAGCACCACGTACCTGGGAGCTGCAGCACAGTGCAAGCGGCAGCAAAATCTTTGTGGGGCCAGAATGTGGCGCACAGGAATGAGCGAGGTTGCTGGTGCCTGGAGACCAGGACACCTGAAGCCTCAGCTCCCACCTGCATTCGGGGGATTGCTAATGCATTTCACATCAGCTAATGCCTGAACAAAGCCTGAAATCAGCTAGGCAGTTAGGACCACCTTCGAGGTTTCTGACTTGCTCAAATTAGCACGCTGAAAAGTCAGGCCCCCTCAAGTGAGTCCCCAGGCTTCTTTTTTACTTTACATTTAGTCCTGTAAACCTCTCATTGCTCCCTCTATCTAGTCTAACAAAATAGATAGGAGAGCAGCTCAGTCTATGAAATGATGTCTTCTGGATTTCTATATTTGAAATAACAGAAATGGAATAATTATGAGAAATTAAAAAAAAATGCTAGAAGGCTGGGTAATTTTAGAATTGACTTTATAAAGTCTTGTCTACATTGGAACCCAAGAAATCAAAGATCAAGTAATTAAAGGTACAAAGGTAATGCATTCTAGTTGGACAATGCTAAATCTCAGTGTAGATGCTCTCACACAGAAGCAAAGTGGCCTAATTCTTTCAGACAAATTGCACCAAACTGAGGCCAATTTACTTTTGCAGGAGAAAATCCATACCATGGTTAAAAGTGCAGGTATTTTGCGCCTCTTGCCTAGAAGAAAGCACTGGAGGAAGTGTATCAAGATCTAAAATGCACCATATTTTTTCCGGTGCAGTTATCATCAGAAATCACAAAAAAGACTACAGATACATTCAGGCACTTTAAAAAGTGAAAAGGTAGAGCCTTAAAGCCTGTTTATCTGTATTTGACCCTCATGTTCATAGGTGCCTAAGTTTTCCACATTATATATAATTCATTTAATGGTTTGGGGTGAGATTAATCTGACCAACTACAAACATGTAGCCCTCAATACTCTAGCTTTCTTGATCAGCAGAGAGATACTTGCTCTTTTGGGCTGTTTCTCTCACTCCTTTTAGAAGGCAACCTTCCAAAATAGCTCCTAGAAATCGTACCTGAAAACATCCACTCATATCCACTGACTGCAAAGGAGCCTCAAGCGATCAGTGGAGCTGTTTATTCTGTAGATAGCTAAAATACCACAGATATATCCTATCATATTCATCTGCTTCTGCCTGTGTCCCCAAGCGCTGCAGCAATGATGGCAGTGAACTGTGCAACGTCCATCTCAAACCCGAATTTACAGAATAGGCTTTACATTATCTATATCACATGAGAAAGTCCATCCATCTGCATTTTCAGAGCTCAACCAACAGTTAAGGCTGCAAAAAAAAAACATAAACTAAGCCAAAAGTCTTAGTAGACCACTCCCTTAACCTAATAATTCAGTAGTGAAAACATTTAGGAAGGATAGGGTTGCTCTCAGGATTCTGGAGGATTTTAAACAGTCTTTCCTCAATGCTTTAATCAGTGGATTATTTCCTAATCTGAGGTGAGAACAGACAGGGCACTCTCACTCCCTCCTGTAAAAGATGTTACACTTTGAACAAAACAATTAGATACTCACTGAAAGAGACACACACCTGTTACTGCATGCGATGGGGAGAACCTGGCTTCCACCACTGCTCTCCTGACAGCCCCAATGTGAAAATCTACAGCCCCTTGCATCAAACAGTGGCTGGAGCACAGCCTCCCACTTTCCTGTGAGCACATTCATCTCTCCAGCCCAAGGAGTATTAAGTGTGGGAGTTCACAGGAGGGACTGACAGTATCTCCCATCTCCTCTAGAACACACTGAAGTATACAGGCTGATAGATGACAGCTTCGAATCTCCTCCAGTGAGAAAGGGAAGGAAATCCAAGTGCAGGGAACCAAATTAAAAATTACTGTTCTCAGTGTGTCAATAAAGAAGCAAGAGATGATGGAAGAGATGCCACTTCATCTCTCTTTGAAAGGAGTGGCTTTTTTAGAAAAAGACAGCACAGACATACCAAAAACCAGCAGGGCTTTAACTATATAAACTGAGATTTTCCTGTAAGCTTGAGTGGCTCCCTGTTGCCATCCCAGGTGTTTAGGCATTACTCTCAGCCACCAAAATCTCCCCTCCGTCTTTGACAGAGCTTAGGCCTAGTAAATCAAAAGGAGACCCATTTACCACAGCTGTGATTACATCCCCTTTGGAGATCAGATTAACTGACTCTTGGAGGAACAGACCTTCTCCTTCAACAGACAGGGCAGTGCTAGTGTAATTCCTACTCACGCTGGTGAGCAGGCTTAATTTTATTTCAGGTCAAACACAGAGGCTTGAATTGCAGTAACCTATTTAAGGCAGAACACCAATTAAACAAGGAGCATGTCTCATTATTGCTATGTTCTGCACCCACACACCAGCAAAGCTGGTTATCTGGAAAGGGCAATACAACAGAACAGGAACAAGTTCTACTTTGATATTTATGAATACTATGTCACTTATCCACCGTACTGTTAGTGATTTGATATCAAGCTGCATTCACTGTCACACAATAAAGTAGAACAACACAACCCGATATTCTGTGCATGAAGTATCCATAAGCCCATTTTAAAAACAAACATCTGCTCTGTAAGGGCACTTAAGAATTATCATCCATTACAGCTCACATTTTCCTCCACCACAGAGTGTAGTCGCCAACTCACGGCTCTTTCTCACCTCATATCCGAGCAGAGTTGTGGTTGTCTCCATGAGCACCATTTCTGTTTGAAAGGTGGCTGTAGGAACTTCTGTCCTGGCGAACGCTCACCAGCAGGTCCAGTGCCCAGGGCACTCAGAGATGAAAGTCAGCGAAAAGATTCTTATTCAGCCATGAACTGGCTACAGACTTGTAGCTCAGTTGCCAGAAGATGAGGTGGAATAAAACCTCTAACAGTACGGGTGAGAAAACCAGAACTTTGCACTAGCACTAAAGGCAAATATCCATGCTCCTCTAACAGCTCTTCCCTGAGAGCCCTACTCTTACAGGCAAAGGTGGATGAAATTCACCCTCCGCCCATCACAGCTGGTCCAAACTGTAGCCCAGATGGGAGGGAGCAGCGCGAGGTGAGAGAGACTGGCTGGCTCCACAGCTTCTCCAGGCACCTCCACCACCTCCCGCCATCAGCACCGGTGTCTCCTGCCGCAACACAGCCGCGCAGAAGGTGCGACCTGGGGAGGTGGAGGGACCAGGAGAGGGAAAAGTGATGGTTGCGGAGGTACGGGGAACGGGTCTCAAAATTAGGCATGTGGGCAGCTAAGCAAGGCCATTCCCAAGCAACTGGAAATACGCATCCCCTCTCAGGCATGTTTTAGGAATATGCCTTGACTCCAACATTTAGAGAAATTACTCCAGCAGAATTTCTGCTAAATCATTAGCAAGCTGAAAAATCCCCCCGAAACAGGCAAGACGCTGAATGTTTTTCATTCTACTAATATGAAGAATAACCCATCACACACAAACATGCAGCACTTGAATCATAAAGGTCACTGTCTTGTGTTGAAATGAATCATGCCATACAGTGCCACTGCCTGTTTTATTTATTGCACGGTAAGATGATCTTAATTACTCAGCCCTAAAATGTAGTACACCCAGTTCAGGTCGTATTTTTAGGAAAGTTACTCTCTTTTTAGGCTTGCTCTCCCTTTTGCTGGATATTATTTGTTTTAGACATATTGACACATCTCTACCCCAATGTCTCAGAAAGGCGCATTCTGCAAATTCTTTCCACAAGAAACATTTTGGCTTAAACAAAACCATCTACATCAGGCAAACAATCTTTGTTATTTAATACAGAGATAAAATAAATAGTGTTCAAAACTATGAAATGAGGCATTAAATCCAGGACACCTGTGAATGCACAAAGATAGAACAATTCTATAGACTTTTGCTACATTTTTAGAGAATGTTCATATTTATTTTTTCTTTTTTTTTTTTCTTTTTTGTTTCTCAGGTATTTTCACAGGTGTAATATGTACAGAAAAGACAATGCCATTCTACTTAACAGCTTTTTTTAAAACAGTAATTCAAGGTTTCTCCACATCAGAAAATGACTACTCCTCAAAAAAAGATCAAATCAGTTCATAATGGCAAAGTAGTGGCTCCTGGAAAACTGGACTTAAGAAAATCCTCACCATTGCAACCGCAACAAACTTGTGCTCTGAATTTTTATTTTTCACACAAAAATAAATTAAAATCTCTTTCAAGGACGACATTATTGAATAATTTGAGAATTAAAAATCTCAAACAGTTGCAGAAAGACCACTGAAATCTTGCAGTTGTTTATGCATATGCCCAAATAAAATAAAATATGAAGGCATTAAGCATAAAAGTGAAAAAAATAACAGAAAGCAATAAGAGGCAAAACAATTTTTGTTTCTATATACATAAATATTTTTACATGAGTAACAAGAAATGTCAAAAATACACAACTTTGAGTACAAAATAATCATTTTAGCAATAGATTTGTACAAATGAGAATTGTGTAAGCAGCATGCTTTGACAGAATTAAATAAACTGCAACATAATTCAAAATACATTCATTTCAATCCTCCGTACCAAAGATTTCTCAACACGTAACATGAGGGAATACAGTTTACCAACAAGTATCATTTCTGGAGAGGAAGAAAATTATAATTCCCCAGTAGAATCAAGAAGGATCAATTTCAGTTTTTAAAATCCTTGGTCTTCAAGGTCAATCCCACTAAAATGTCTCAGTAGCCCCAATCCTGACAACACGTATATGTTTTAACATTACAGATGTTAACAAGCTTATGCTGATCTTGGCAGGATCACAGACAGCAAGACTGAGCAGTTTAGTGGTCTTCAACTTGGTCCTAGGACTTCACCTGTAATTATCAAGGCACTGCTCTAAAGAAAGTATATTAGACACAATAGCCCAAATGGTTCTGTAAACACATAATTACCCTGGGGATACTTTTATGCCACCTTGTTTCTTTTTTTGAACACCTTTTTGTTCACTGCGTGCTCTGATCACCGCTAAAACCTGGTGTGAATACGGCATCACCATGTAAATCACCTCTGAGTTTGGGCCACACAATTTGGGTTTCTTTCCTCCGACCATCAGCAGATGCAGCTCTGAGCACAAACCCTATTACAGTCAGTGTAAACAAGCACTAAATTATCAAGACAAATTAACTTTGATGTTTGCAATTTCTACTTCACAGCCAGTACTTGTCAGAGATTATAAAATCCCCACAAAATGTTTTCCCCTCCCCCTTCAAGAAAGAAATTTCACTGACTTTCCTGTATTACTCATATTCTTCCCTTCTTGAATTACCACGTTTTATGACATTCATTCAGACCTCTTACATTATAGCTCTGGAAGACAGCAAAAATACCTGTTCCTGCCATCTCAGACAGTATATGCTCTCACTCTGTTACATTTGCTCTAAGCATGATTTTGCTGCTTTCGGAGATAAACAGGCATGACAGCTCTGAAACAGAAAATCCATACTAACCAGGTCATAAACTTCCGCTATCAATGTAAATGTAATTGAGAAATAAAAGCTATACTGCAAAGACATGCTAAACCACTGTTTTACAGCAGAACTCCTTTACTGCCTGTCATATTGATCAGAAAAATCCATACCATCATCCGTGAAGTTGAGAAGAAATAGAAAGCACAGACATCAATAGCACCAGCACTGCCTGGGTGCCTTTACATGTAACCCACAACCTCAGCTAGCAGCTTTTTTTAAAAATGAAATTACTAAATTCAAAATTGTTCCTTTTATACTCCTAAAATTTAAATATTGCCAACACTTTTACTGATAGTTGTCGATGAGAAGAACAGAGATAACTGTTAAATTAGTTCTTCACTGAAGACCTAAATAAAATCTAGGGTGTAAATGTTTAGTTGGCCTCAGGAAGCAAGCAGTCCCTGGACACGTCTATGTGTACGAAAGAAATGCCCTGTTCTGGTGGATAGATAGAAATAAATAAGATTGCTACTATTTGCTGCTTCGGTACAAGAACAAGAAAGAGGTCTCCATGCTCTGGGGTACTGAAAGAGGTGGAAGCAAGAGAAGCCCAAACCCTAGCCCTGGTTGATGAGTTTGTTATACATTAATCCTCCTGTACTTGATCACAGACAGCCCCAAAAAGCCCACTGCAAGGGCACACAAATTCTGCAGGCATTCTTCCCCAGACTCAGAGCAACTGGAGATCTCATTTCAAAGACCAAACCTAAGCATTAATTTTCTTACCTCACATTAAATATTTATTTAGCCGATTAAAATAAATATAATATCCAAGTCTGAATTGCTATCATCAAGTAAAACCTTTGCCTTTCTGCTTTCCAAGCAGGTACCAAGACAGCCTGACATTAATCAGAAAGGTGGTTTGGCATTTCAGGGAGAGAAGCTGATGCCTAATAGATGAAAACAGCAGAGTAAACCCTTGAGGCACTACAGAGGAAAGGGAACAACAACAAAAATCAGTATGAAGTAGTATCAGAGGGAAAAGGGGAATTTAACTTACAACCCCAGCAAACTCTGCTGGCCAACTGTTATTCATTATCATCAGTTTATGGTTTTGGTCTCATAGTTAAACTGGAAAACAAGCAAGTAGAGGATTTTTTTCCCAGTCGTTACTATGTAGACTAAGTCCTAGACTCAACTATGATTCATGTGCTATTTGTTTGCTAGTTTATCCTACTATTTCTGATTCTATCTCAATGAACACCTGACAGCATGATTTCAGCAGTGTGGAGCACATGGAGCCTTACACAAGCTCCAAACAGAAACAGCGTTATACCAACCCAGTGCGAACTGTAGGCCCAGAGTCACAATTTCAGACAGGCTTTCAGGCCTACCACCAGGTTTGGACAGCTTCTAACAGCCTAAAGTAACAACTAGAGCCATCCTTTCCCCCTGTGACAATTTTCACATGAACTACATTTTTCTAAATCTTGTGTTAGTCTAAACCTTGGGACATGGTATTGTCATTGCTTTCCTTCCTTCTCATTCCTCCATTTTCTCCTTCCAGTTCCCCTGATTACCAAGCAGTTAATGTTACTTTTGATCAGGTGTTAGAAAAAACAGAAAAATCTATGACTGTACATGTAGCTACACCAACATAAATGGCCCTCCTAGAGCTTACATGGGTCTTTCATTGAAACTCACCAACATAACATAATAATAATAATAATAACAACGCTTCAAAAAAGAACAAAATATTCAAATGAACAAATCCTACAGTAAATTTTGTAAAGTGCACAAAAATATTAATGGAAATACTTTACAAAAAAAAAAAAAAAAGAAAAAGTTTTCTAGCGTCACCATGAAAACTTCTGAAATATTGTTAAAATTAAATAGAAGTAATCTAATGAGACTTTTTGGCTCTAATATATTGGCAGACAGCAGCAACATTTTTCAGAAAAATTACACCACCTAAATATACTGTATCTTAGCAGCATAAAAAGTCCCTACAATTAAATGCAATTGCAGGCCTAGTAAGCATAAACCTGACAAAATGTTACAAATGTAGTTTTCATTTAAAAGAATGGATTTCCATGGAATCCTAGAGGTAACATTTGTTATTTTGTTTACATTGTATTCTGGTAGTAAACCCCGCTATAACCAATCACTTTCCCTCCCTCTATCTTTCTTCCCAAAATTGCACAGAGTACTGGAAAATTTAATCAAGTTATAAGATATGGCCACACTGAAGAAACCATATTAAAGAAAACAAAATTCAACCTAAAGCCTAAGACAAATAATCCTAGAAAATAACAATCATTGTCGAACAACCGCAGCTTCACACTACTGACCGATGCTCCCCACACACATAAATGGCACTGGGTCGAATGCGCCGCCGGGTATGGCCAGGTAGCTGTGGCAGAAACTTGAAGTATTTGGGCATCAAGTCCAAGCATGCATCATGAAACTTCTTAATCCTCCAGTAGTAAATCAGTGGGTTCAGTGCAGACTTGAGGTAGCAGAGCCAAAGGAGCCAAGTGCTTATCTCAAAAAAGTTGTGCTTGTAGTAGAAGTGGCTGTTGAATGTGGCAATAAGGCTGTAAGTGGTGAAGGGTGCCCAACAGACTATGAAGACGAGGAACAAAATCAAGATGGTTGTGAAGGCACGAGTTTTAAAGCTCATATCAATATTCATCTGAAAAGGTCTCTGTAAGCTCATGAGACCGAGTTTGCTGGCCTGGCTGAGGCATATGCTATCAGGGTGGCTATGGATACGAACTGCATTGTGGCGGACGGTGTTGAGTATGCCCATAAAAGAATACAGCATTACCAGGAATGGAATAAAAAAAGAAATTAGCAAGATAACGATCACGTAGGCTTGGTAACCTGGGCTTGTAGAGTAGCCAAAAACACACTGAGGTGCTCTCGAGGGTATCTGCAGATTAGGATTCCCTACTGATAACGGAAAAGCAACAACAAAGGATGCCACCCAGGAAACTGCAATAAGAATCTTTGCACGGTACGGGTTCAGTTTATCTTGCCTCTGAACTATGATAAGAAATCGGTCAATACTAATAATAAGAAGAATGGCTACCCCCTCTATGGCAAAAAGCCAGAAGAACATGGCAGAGACTCTGCAGAATATATCCCCAAAAATCCACTGAGTGGTGACGATTGTTATCAGAGCGAAAGGCATGTTCAGCACTGCCAGCAGCATGTCTGCAAAAGCCAGGCTTGCTAGGAGGATGTTAATTGCAGATCGCATAGCTGCCTTCTGGTAGACCATGAGGCAGACGACAAAGTTTCCAAGGAAAGAAACCAATAGGATAAATATCATAGCAGCAGAAAGAATGATCTGGAGTGGCAAACTCAAGCTCCTGAAAACTTCTTGTGATGGCAGGATAGCTGTAGCGTTTACCAGAAAAGTACTTCTCTCAGTGGTGAGCACGGCACCTGAACTATATCTCAATGGTTGTGTTGTGCCACTACGAAGCAAGAACTGGGGAGTGGTAAAATTCGTATAGGCATTTTCATAAACAATAAAAGTAGCATTTGAGGTCCCAGAGTGGGCCAGCGTCAACATTGCTGAGAAAACCATTGCTTCAGGAGAAATGAAAGCAGAACCAAAGGTCTTCAAGGCATTTCATCTTGTTCAGGGAGTATCTTATTCCTGGTAATTTAACAAATCAAAATTCAACGTCTGAAGGAATCAAAGTTCTTAAATTCACATCAGTACCTCCACCTGAAAAAGAAGAAAGAAATATAAAGAAGCAAAGTAAGACTCTCCAAAACCAGTGGGAAAGACTGCTTCAATTTCCTTAATGACAAAAGGTTCCTTAATACATATTTACACTTGAAGTTGACACAGTTTACTTCACCACCAGTCACAGGAGTCTCGCAATAGTGAGTCTTTTTCTTATACATCCTGCTCCTGTAGTCTTGCCAATACTATACAATACTCTCTCTCATTAAGCCTTTTTTCTACTATAACCAGGACTGGAAAACTTTTGTGTTTGAAAACAAACATTACTGATTACATAATTTTAGTTACATAATTTAAAACTAACTTCATTATTTTGTTTTGAAATTGCTTACAGCTGGAAACTTTAATAACATTTCCAAATAGCATGAATAGTATCAGTATTATCTATCTGTCTGTTTGGTAAGCACTGAAAAGCCTACCTAGCTGATCTATCCTACATAATACGAAATCCTTGGTTCCATGTCAGTCAGCAGCAGCAAATGCCTCGGGAAAAGCATGCAAAACATCCTAACCTGTTATTCATTATTAAATAACTTGTCCCCGGGATTAAAGTATTTCTCAATTTGTTTCATTTAGTGACTGACTCATAACAAGGTGCAGGAAACTAACTTTCTTTTCAGTCCTACAACCCTTCCCCCTGCAGCAAGCTTTCCTGCTTTCACTGGTCTAGACACATCTTTGTTAATTCATCTTGGTATTCCACATAATTTAATTGTGTGCACCTTCTTCTTCCTTGTAAATCTAATCCTTAGACCATTCTGCTGAACTCTAGAGCTCATTGTTATGCTGATACAATGCAACATTTCCTTTCATAGTTGACATGTACTGTCTTGTACTATTATTACATGTATTGTATTATTACATGTACTGTTCTTACAGACAAAATGCAAAAGTGTTGGAGTTATCTCCCTTTTTTCAGTGCTAGCTCCACCCCTCCATCTTGGACTATTAAACTAAACACTCCCAGAGTACTCTGGCAGCTGATCAAGTGGAAATCAGAAGGATTCTATGGCTTTTTAAAAAACAGATCACCACCACCAGAAACATAAAGTGGGATTCACCTCATCCATTCTGGATGACTGTAACAGTCACTTGAGGCTGTTTTCATGGTTTTAGTCAGAAGAGAGATATAGGCTTCTCCAGAGGGCAATCTATCTCCTCTATCTCTGCACACGGTGACATGCTTGTGCTGCTAACTTGAGAAGTTTATGTTTGGTAACACAAATCCTGCCCACAGAATTTATGTGGGTTCTGTTTGGTACCAACACTGCGCAAAAGTGGAGGGAGGAAGGAAAGCTTTTATGAATTTACACAAGAACCACATGCTTTATGGAGGATCAAAAGTTTATTCTTGCCTGGGTAATACTTCACCAACAAAGAAATGATCTGTAAAACAACAAAGTCTAACCTATGTCCCCAGTTTGGGCTTCTAGCAATATGAATGCAAGCCTGCTCAGGCTGCTGCCAATGATTCATCAAGGAACATCAGCACTACAACCTGCTCCTCTCATTCGATAGCAAAACTATTCCTTTCCTATCTGCAAGCTCAGTATCACTAGATGATTTCCAGGGCCAGACCACCTTCTGCATTTTTTCTAAGACAAATTATTAACCTGTCTCTTTTAATGTTCAGTGATATCATGAAGGCATATTATTATAAACATCCTAATTTCATTGAGTCTGTGAAGTAGGTCTCCCTACTTGAATTAGAGGGAATGTCATAATTTTCTATTTTATCCTATTATATTTCAAAGATTGTTAAACTCAGCAAGAGTACACTAAGCTATGTACATGGACATTTTGCAAAAATGCCAAGTTCTGTTAACTTGATTCCAGATTTTTCCTTTTCTCTCCATTCTCTCAATTTTATTTGTGTTCTACAGTAACTCTTCCAGAGAAAGCCTCAATGTAATTACAGGCTAAAGCATATATAGTAGCCAAAAATCTTCTTTCTTTGGTTTTTATAAATCTTTCCTTTACTAGTCTTCTTAAACATATCTGTTAGAATGAAATCTGTAACCAACAGCAGAAAGGTTAACACACCTTTCCAGGAAAAACAAACAAGGATTTTAGCAACGAACATTAAAAACTCACCCAAAGTTCCACCAAAGTTTATGACTCCACAAACCAACACTGAAGAGGGAAGGAAGCTGCAGCATTCTGCAGGGACTGCAAAAGAGCACAACTTCAACAAATAATTCTGGATTTAAAATCATGGCATACAGAAAATTAGATCCCCAGTGCAGTATCTTTTAGAGCTCTGTTAGCAATAAGCCAGCAAAGGTAACTTCTGCATTTCTGATGGTTTTTGACAAGGTGTCTCCACCAAGGCTCTAAAAGAATATAATCTGCCATTAGATAAGTGTAAAGCCCTCTCACAGACAATAATTGGTTTAAAATAGGAAACAAAAGAAGAAGCAGTTAGTTTTGCAGTGAAAAAAGGTCACCAGAATGATCATACAAAGAAAATCTATACTGGGGTTCAAGCTCTTCAACCTATAGGAGAAAAGAGGGGAACGTGAAACCATGACATTTGCTGCTGATGAACATGACCTGGTTTTCAGAGCAATTTAATAAAATCAAATGTCAACTATAAAGAGGTACAGAGGGATCTCATGACAGTTAGTGACAAGCTAATAGACTGCCTGATACAATTCCCTGTTGCTAGAGGTAAAGATATGCCTGTATAGAAAAAAGTCATCTGCACAGTAACAGATGCTAAACCAATGACTACCATCCAGAAGAAAAAGATCTTCAAGTTTTAATCGTCTAATCTACGAAAACATCAGCCAAGTGTTCAGAATTGTTAGCAAAGAAACCAAGAAGAAATGCAGGAGCTATCTACATACACTGTATATTTATTTGCACTACCTGCTACAATACATATTCACGGCACCTCTTATCTTTAGTACTATGTTCAGGTCTGCTCCACCTGATCTCTGTTCAAAAGTCATTGAAAAAAGGTATCATAGAGGTCTACAGAATTATGAGTGGGACAGGGCAAGAGAATGACTGTTGTCTCTCATAATATAAGAACAGGAAAAGCCAAAGGAATCACAAAATCCCAGAATGGTTGAGGTTGGAAGGGACATCTAGAAGTCATTTGGCCAACCCCTCCGCTCAAGCAAGGCCACCTGGAGTCAGTTGCCCAGGACCATGTCTAGATGGCTTTTGAGTATCTCCAAGGATGAAGACTCCACAACCTCTCTGGACAACCCGTGCCTGCTCCTCACAGTGGGAAAAAAGTGTTTCCTGGTGTTCAGGAGGAACCTCTTGTGTTTCAGTTTGTGCCCGCTGCCTCTGATCCTGTCACTGGGCACCACTGAAAAGAGCCTGTTCTCTTTGCACTCTCTCTACAGGTATTTATATACATTCAGAAGATCCTCCTGAGCCTTCTCTGCTCTGGGCTGAACAGTCCCAGCTCTCAGCCTTTCCTCAAAGAAGAGATGCTTCAGTCTTTTCACCATCTTTGTAGCCCATCACTAGCCTCTCTCTAGTATGTCCATGCCTCTTGAACTGAGGACCCCAGAACTGGACACGATTATTTCATAATTAATTATGAAAATACTTGCCACAGGATGCTGTGGATGCCACAGAGCTTCTGTGGATTTAAGAGGCAATTCAGGACAGACTTCACAAGATCTTTATACAAATGTCTATGTCAAGAAGAGGTGCATCACCCTCATGAAGCACCTATCTCCCTCTGCTAACTGCAAAGGGTACACAGTCATCTGAGTACAGACATTTTGATCTTGACTAACTTTAAATATATACAACAGAATTTACTCACTTAAGTTTACAGTTCTTCAAACATATTTATGCCACACAACTTTACACTCTGAAGTATGAAGTTCAGCTGAGCCTTAGATGATAACATGTATCATAAAAGCTCTAAAGAGGAAAAAAACCCCAAACCTACAATTGTACAAGGGTAAAGAATTAAAGTTTTAGAAACTACTGCTTTATCACAAATTGTCTTTCTAAACAGAAGTAACCAGACAAGAGGAATAGGAGCAGAAATGTTCTGCACCTTTCATTTAGTCAAAAGGATTGTGCTACCCTGCATTTCTCAAGCCAGTAGCACCCACTATATAGCAACAAAGGACTGAGAGGTGTCGATAGACTATTCCTAACAAACCCAGAAAAAGTGACTAAGAAAAATAATCTCATGTATGCTTTCTCACCATCAGAGCTCTCTAAGCAAACAGCTACCTCCTATTTTGTTCTTTCTCTGCTCAGTGTGAAGCTTGTATGCTTTTCTGTACAGTGTTAAGAGAAGAGGAGGAGAATGACCTCATGCAAGCTGCTGCCGGGACCTAGACAAGTGCTTAAAGTGGGAAGCAAGCATTAGCCATTTGGCTGTTGGATAAGTCATCGGCCATTATCTTCTTTTCAAGGATGAAAGAGTGAGCAGTGATCAGCTGTTGCAAAGACAACTAACCTAGCAAGAGGGCTGCAGGCTTTGGATCCAGCTAGAAACAAACTATTGAGTGTTGCTCCTGTGCCCATTGCTTCTTGATGGTTTCCAGGCAGCACCCTTCTCTGTACTCTATCACTCTGAGGTATGAAATCTCTCCGTGCACTGAATACTGAATCTGCATGTTCAAATGTGGTTTGGAGTTACATTTATCTAACCTTCATGCAACTTAGTTATCCTCCTTCTTTGCTATCATCCTTTGTAATAGTGGCTAGCAATTCAACCAATAAATTCAAGAGGATCACTTCTGTAACAGTCATATATATTTTTTATACTTTTCCCCTTTTTTTTTTCCCTCCTCCTACTTAAAGGCCTTCTACCATAATCATTCACATGATTATTAAACACGTGCCTCTATCCTTCTTCCTACCCTTCCAACTTCCCAAAAATTATGTAAGGATAGAAATATAAGCTGAAAGAAAGGGACCAATAAGATAACTTCACAGCAATTTCATTTCAGTCCTGACTTGCTCTTTGAGAAAGACAGATCCTATAATTTTAAAGTCACAGTCATTGCTGAATGGTAATCACACAGCTTGTAAAAGACAACCATGCTTTGACAGTTTAAATAGGTAAGCTTATTGATGGTCAGAGTACTCAAACAAGAGGCAGATACCTTTTTCTCACAGCATTCTCACTTTTGGAACATGTACTCTCTCTGATTCTTTTCAGATGCAAAAAAGCTTCACAGAATCACTTTTTTTCCATTTCAGTGCTGAAAATTACTGGGTATGAACATTTTCTCTCAAGCAAGGTTCTCACTCATATGCAACTTTCTTTTTATGGAATTTAATAGACACAATTATTTCAATGAAGTACACACTTAAAGCTAAATAACACACAAATTTCATTCATCAAATATAATTATTGCTAGAACTATGGTGTCTGTTTTTAACAGCTTTTGAAGCTAAAAGGTTTCTGTTCAAAATTTGGATAGCATGCTTAACCAGAAATAAAAGATTATATCTTACGTGCAAAGCCAACATCAGTCAAAACCAGTAACTCCAACATAGACAAAACAAGGAACATAACAGGGCCATAACAACGGTTATGCTTAATGCAGATCAGAACATGGTATCAACAGCTGCCAAAACGTTCAATGATTTATGAAATTTATCTGCTAAAAAGTGAGCATATTTTCAGTACTGCCCAGCAACAAAATTTGGTCCAGCACACAGAAATCATTCTTATTCAGAAGCCTGGAACTAGCAATGCCTGGTACACTGATCCTATTTCTTGGGCATGTTTCAAGTGTTCACAAAAGGGGAGCTTCTGCATGTCTTATAGCTACTATCAGTGGTTTAATTTTGAAGGTAAACTTTGGCAGAAACAATTTTTGCAACATAAACAACATCTCAAAAGCAAAATATTCTTAGGGGAAAAAGGATAAAGTCAACAAAAAACATGAAGACCACAGACTTACTTTGTTTTCAGAAAAATGTGTTGACAGAAAATACTCAAGTATGTGCTGACACCCCATTATTGTACAAAGCAGCCCAGGACATACTCCCCTCTCCATACAAATTGAGCATCGTTTCCTATGCCATTAAGCAGAGGCAGGAACATATTGCAATGGAATCCTTTCTGCTAAAGCTAGTGCAAAGAATGAGTCAGAGCACAAATCAGCAGGGACAATGTTCTTACTCACCTCACTGTTCCTCCCAAAAGGAACTAGCAGTTTTCAGTTTTAATACCTATTTACATATCCTAAATGGAAACTAATCAACTACACTGCATGAGTAGATGACCCATAAAACTATTCACAAGAGGCATTAGTTTAATTTAGGAAATTTTCCTCTTTCCACTCTATAAACACTACCGTTGCGATTTTCATTGGAAAGTATTGTGGGAAACCGTCACCTCTGCTTCGGGTCATTAAGTACAATTAATTGCCCTCCTGAGGATATTTCTTTCTGTCCTTAATTCAGAGAGCCATTAACTGTCAAGAAATGTCAGCCATGGGAATCACTATTACTACTCTAAACCACAAATATGCAAAATGTAAAGAATAATTCTATTCTCTTAGCTCCTGGGAAAAATCATGTTCTCAATCTGTAGATCACGTGAAAGGACTTACACAGTTCTAGGTTCATCTCTAGTACTGACAACATTCCTCTGACTTCTAATTCTCCCACTAGTTCAATATTAATGCTGAAGAGCTAACCGAATACTGCAGTACCTAGAAGAACAGTAAATAAAAATACTTTAAATATTAATGAAAACGTACTCTTTTAATTCATAGTCTTCACCTAGTTATTAACAAACACCTAACAAGTTGGAAGCTACCTAAATGCTTGGCTTCCTAAATTTTAAGTGGACCTTTGGATTATACATGCAATCACTACATGTCAGTTTGACAAATTAGAAAAAAAAGCATACCAATCCAGACAGGATCCCATGAAGAGCAGGAATCATAAATCATCTTGTGCTGTGCTGTTCAGCAAAGTATTTCCATTCCAAATAACCTATCAAAAAAAAAAAAAAAAAGTTGGTGACATGTTTACACTCAAGGCAGGACAAGATCAGAATCATCAAAGTTTTTCCTGTAATAAAACTTTATTTTTATTGGGAGAGGTAGAATACGCTGTCTCCTGACAAAAGGCAGATCACATTCCCCTTTCTTGCAGAAGGTGTAGACCTTACAGAGGACTAAGGCTTCTAAGTTTCACCAAGGCAAAAAGATCCTCGGCTTTCTCCCCTGTGGAACATAAGAATCTCACCATTTAGTAATAACATTTGCCAGGACTGGGGTAGCGTGTTGTTTTAGCTCTCACTGAGATGCATTTATTTAATTTGTAGACAAGGACACAACACTTAGCTGCCATAAATCTTATTGGATTATTAAAATATACGCCTTAAACATCAGGATCCTGATCTTGAGACCCCCCCAAAGCCTCTCAGAAAAAAAAATGTTGTTTAAACCCACAGGGTGCTACTGAACATCATGAAGAAGCTGAATTCATTTTCCCCAAATGGCAAAGATATCAGCATAATAGCATCGGAAAAACAAAGGGTGAGAAAACAGGTCTAGAGAGGAAAAATAAACCATGAAAGTTTCAGTGCAGGATCTCAGCACTTCCTTTACATGCTCTTGTACCAATCAATCACTATGCCTCAAGCAATTAAAATTATTGCTGTAAACTGGGCCTAACATAGCTAAAAAGCTGCATATTCCATGATGACATACCCGTTGTTAACGGAGAGCATGAATTTTCCACGTAGTTTTTCAATACACTCTCAGAAGGAAGCCAAAAAATTTCAGTGAGCCTTTAAAGTTGAGTTTGTGTCACACCAAAAGATCCCAGTGACCCGATTTATTTATAAATATTGTTTATATATAAAATTCAAAAGAACAAAGACGTGGAACACAGACACTTTTACATGCTAGTTTTTAAAAGGCTTTTAATTTCTGCCAGAAACAGCTTTTGCAACATCTGTAAGTCACCTCCATTCTGGAGCAAAAGATATCAGGATCCTTCAGGAACAAGTCTCTAAATAAATGCTGTACACGTGGGTTGGAGAACAAACCAGCCAATGAGTTTACAATGACCATCTACAAGGGAAGCAGTAAGAACAAACTGTACTTTAAGACCACTCATAATCTCCTGGTTCCTACAACATTCAAGTGCTGATTTTCTGTATCTGTGATCAACTTAACAGACTTCAAACACCCAAAACATAAGGCTGATTTGCTAGACTGGCACCTGCTGAGAAATCTGCCTTCCGCAGAACCAACCCATTATCTAGCCACAATGGAAGTCAGTGTCTCAAAGATTTTTCTGATAATCTATTAATACAAATTGTTTGCCATTAGCATAAAAATTCCATCTTTACATTTATGGCACAGGACAAGGTGGGAAGGAAAAATACAAGTCTCAGGTTTAGTTGTGTATAAAAGAGATAAAATGTAGCCATTAGATTATTATAGTCTTTCACCACTTGGTTTATTCCCTCTTTAGTGAGATAAGTATTATAAACTGTTAATCTTCTCTCTTAGGCTTGCTGAAGTGTCAAAGAAGCGAACAGATTTGCAAGCAGGCAGAAGACTCTGCCAGGAACTTGGACAGATTAAATACAGCGTCAACCTGTCAGATCTTACCACGAGACAAGCACATTCTCTGACATAAGAGCCATTTCTTCTCTCTACTGACATGATTATAGAAAGTATTTCCAACTCTCATTGAAGTATCTTTAAAATCAATTTAGAAAAGAATCCAAATCATCACCATAAAGAAGGAAGTTCTTCCACTTCATGACTCCAAGAAGGGAAAAAATAAAAGCACTTTTTCAAAATAAATCTGGAAAATTTTACTAAATTCGAGTACTTTGCAGAGTTTGTTCTTAACTGGGTAAGATTGCTTTGGGCAGTTTTCTGCTGGCAATACGGGGTTAATGCTGTTTCCAAACACATTCCTCCCCCCCAAATGATTAGTCAGGGTTTTTTTGTAAGAACAGAGGGGAAAAGCTCTGTAACCCTTCACGATCCTGCAGCGAAATTTGAATGCAAGGATTCCTGTACCTGCAAAGACCTCTACCTGTGAAATTATAACCTTGATATCAGCATTTAGAGCTGGCAGAGCTACTCAAAGGGCAGTCCCAACCTCTTCCTCATTCACTCACTCATTCCTGAACCCAGCTCCCAAGCCCTGAGGCAGGACTGACCTGGACTAAAACAGACCCTGGCAAGCAAACTGAAAAGCTTCCCATTTCTGTCCTGAAGCTGTGAGACGTTGGGGTACACAGAACAAGGCATAAGATCTAAATTTGGCTTCTAAATACTAAGAGGTACTTACATGCGAGACAGTGTGGTGCCATAAGCGAGAACTGGGCAAAACTTGTAATTACTGATGATCTTAGAAGAATTTGCATCTTTACTAGGTCTATTTCGATTCCCCAAACCAGGCACTGTCATTTCCGATGAACTGAAATAGTGGAACTAAAATCACAGAGATCTTAAACACCGTGAAACTTAAAAATGTTTCCCATAATCATTCAGATTACGTTAAAGACTTAGCAACAGACTAGAGAAGGTCTGAAAAATATTATGAGATGTTTTCAGTATACCATTACTTTTCAAATGAGTCATAACTTCTGTTACATACTTTACCGACAGCTCTCTACATCTAATTGCACCTAGTCCATGGCCATTTTTTAGCAAGTTTACTTAACACTTTCTTGGGATTTTAAGTCAAACCCATGGGCAAAAATAAACTGAAACACTGAAAGCTCCCTTTCTTCACCAAAAAGTCATTCTATCAGAAGATAATAAGTAAAAAAGCCTGCTTGAAGTTAGAGCTTTAACAGAACCATCCTAAAGCTATTTTGGCTTTTCAACTAGAGCAACTTCTCCCGTATATTCTCTGAATGGAAGATTGAGTTCTGTGAAGATGTTTCACCTTCATACACCATAAGGTAAAGATCTAAAGGCTTCTTGTATTACATCACTCTTAGCTCCTTTGTAGTGCCCCAGTACATCCAACATACACTACTGCACCGCTTTCTGCTAAAAACAGGGGAAGATGGATTTTCTCATTCGTCAGTAGTTTCGACAACAGCCATTATCACACTATGTTCTATCAAAATGCAAGGGCTTACAAAATTCCTCTTCTAAAAATGGTAACCCCATCATCAACAGCGTTCTATACTGATGGAATTTCTTAAGCTGTCTCTCCCTCAAAAATATACCTGTTTCTTGAAACAAACTTGATTTTTATAAAAAGATGCAGGGATGCTCATGGAAAAGAGATTGGAATGACCGAATTTGTACGCTTTTCACACAGGGTGCTGCCCACAATAGGTTCCTGGGATTTGGTTTAGCTCCTGGAGAAAAGCAATCAGCTCTAATTCTGCTTTTCCCACAGGGATTCAGCTCATGCTACAGCTAAATTCTGCTGCTGCCCAAGAGTCTTGCTACTGTAATACAGATGCTATGGATCTTACTCCTTGGCACTTGGTTCACAGGGAAGAGGTGCAGGTAGCAAGTTAAATGAGATGACTGTATTCCAACAACAGAAATGCTGCTGCTTGCCGCATCCTGCTCTGAAGAATACTTAAAGGCCGCAAGAGTAAGATTAAGCTGACAAGTAAACACAGATTTAGTTTATATGCATATTTATATTATACACATCTCTTCTTAAACATATGCGCACATGCGAGTATACTTACAATACTTATTAGCATCTCTATTCAGCCCAAAACAAACATAAAGTAACAATTGTGTTCCTTTGATTTTTTTTTTCCCCCAGATTTACCCTATATACCCGTTAGTCTAAATGAGTCTATTAAAATCAGCTACATTACAATAGTAACCTACTTTTCATAACATAGAAACAGAGGCTAAATAAACTAACTACTACTAAATAGTTATCCATGTCATCTAATTGTTTTAATAGCTTCAGAATTATTTTTGTCTCTTAACAGCCAACTGGAATAACACTTTCAAGATAGCAACTGTTTCTGAGATACAATTCTAGTTAGAAATCTATTCATACTAGAGATTAAAATTGAGAGTTCCCATTTGGACAACTCTCAGGGTGAGATGACATATTACAGGCGTTCAGACCCTATCAATACAGGCACTAACAATTCCCTTACAGACATGACAGGCAGGGCTTGGAACACACATCACGAACAGATTAAAAAATGACTCATTTAAATATTTTTGGCTTGTAAATTTAATCAATCTGGTGATTTTTAAAGCATACGTTTGCTTTAATGTAATACTAGAAAAAATTGAAATAGTGATCTCTTGGGTTTTTTTTTTAATAACAACTCAAAGCAAACAAATATGTGCATCAACCAAAGGCTTCAAAACCTTTGTATGGACAATCTTTTTAAGTACCTTGTAATTCCCTGTTACAAATAAATCAATGGTTAATTGAAGGAATTTTGCACTACTCAGTGGTTTTGTGCTACTTGGGAACTGTTAAACAAACAGTAGGCCAAATCAAATGTCTCACATGGACAGAGTTGCAGCAGTTGCCAGTTCACAAACCTTGTAGTTAGGAAACGCTTGTTTCCATGGAAAAAGTCCTTCGGTAATAAAAGTGAGGGATTTTCACACTCTTTAAAACAAAAATAATTAATTTAAAAAAAAAAAAAAAAAGGCAACAAAAACCACCACCACCTCACCCCCCCAAAAAAAACCCCTACAACACAAAAAAAACCTCAAAAACAAAAAACCAAAACAACAACAACAAACAGAAAAAGCAAACCTACAAAGAGAAGTATTACCTAACCAGGAAGAAGTCCCCCATTAATTCACATTGTCTTCCACTTTGGCAGCTCAAGATCGTATTTCCCCACTTAACCAAAAGGTGTTTATTTAAACCGTTAATGCTCAATTAACTCATTTTGCAAATAACATCAAAGTGTTTCTTCAGTTACAGAGAAATTTATTTGGTCTCAATTTCAATATGAAACTGATCCTGAGAGTATACTGTACGGAATTTATCATCTTGCATACAGGATAACTCTAAGTAGAATAATAAATGTAACATATATTTTCTAATTTGATTGAAACTGTTCAGCAACCGCTAAAGAATTCAGACCAAGACACTTGTATTAATTTCTGAAAACACTGAAACACACAAAAGTTAGTAACAACTCAAAGTTACGGGCAAGATTTATAGGAAAACAAGTGTGATGACCTCTACCATAAGAGATCGGAAAATTAAACCCTTGCCTCTGTGCTCTCTATAAATCTCTTTATAAACCTTAAAATATTGTTAATGTTGAAATTAACATTATTCAATGGAAGGCATCAAAAAGAACACATGCAAAATCAGAAGTAATGCTTCACCTGTATTTCTAAGACAGGAGAAAAGAAGAAGAATTAAAAAGAGATCTTAACTACTGGGAGAGATCTGCAGGTCATTTTAAAGGATTCTGTATCAGGATACTACAGAAGGTATCATGACTGTCAATAAAAATATACATTTTCTGCCTTTCTCTGGGATTGATTTATATTTAAGTATTTTTATCTAATCTGATTATCTTCTCTTCATTTCTATCAAAACCACTTTCCTACTCCGGATGTAATAGTCAAGTTTCCGGTGGCAGCTCCTTTACACTCACAGAGCTGCTGAAAATAACTTCTATAGCATTTTTTGCCTATTAAACCATTATCACTTTTTCCATTGAAAATCTTGTTTAATTTAACATATTTCTACAAAATCTCTCCAATAAAAGCCAGACTGTTTGTTTATACTTCATTATTTTGTTTACACAAAAAAACATTCCCTTTAACAAGACTTGTTCCAGCACACCTGGCTACAGCACTGTACATTTGCTTCAGTTCCCTCAAAATATTTCTCATTCAGGTTCAACCAACAGTCCAAGAGCCACAATTAATCCTTCAGAACATTTTCATCCAGCTCCCTGTCTTCTTCCTACCATCCCTTTCCTATTGGCACCTTGCAGCAACAGTTAATCTGATCCACAGCGTGCTCTTTGTTGCCAGCTTTCTCGTGGGTCCTACGGCTCCTTCCACCACACGACGAGCACACAGTTTGTCAGAAGATGTGACAGATGCAAGGCATCCTTCAGGAAACAAGAGAGCCACCACAACAAGCTGGCTCAATCCTAAAGTCCTTCAGCAAAGGGGCAATTACAGAGGAAAAGTCATACTTCCATGCTGTGGCAGACTGTAGCCTGCTCCTGGTTATTGTTTCCAATGATAAGTCAGCAGCATATTCTGATCCATACGCACACTGACCATACTCACATCAATGCAATAAATTCACTCATATGAAGAACATGGGGGGAAAAGTTATAGTGTGCTTAATGCCATCTCCACAATGACCTCTGTCGATTATCTGGCTGAAAAGACCAACAACAGTTCTCTCCAATGTACTCTAAATAACAGTTTAAACACTGCATGTTGAAGAGGTTTAACACTGATGGAACAATGACTCATTTTCCAGAATGTGTTTTACTGAAAACAGTTTAATTTCAATTCAGAAAACATAGAATGGCAATTCTACCAACCACCTGTACATACTTTAAATCCTTCCTCAGCCTTCCATTACATATTTAACTCACAAACTATCTTTGCTTGGCAAGTTATTACCAGTTTCAGTCATACGAAGACCTTTCCAGAAGTAGCTAAGGCAAGTTTCTGAAGCTCTGCAGACTCAACCATTGCCTGTTCTCCTCCCAGCCCACTTTTATTACTTTTCTTAAGCAAACATAGCCTGTGAAACTCATGCATATTCAGTTCACGTCAGTCTCATTTTGAGTAGATATGCTCCATAAATACTATGTCTGAATAAAGTTATAACCACTTGCCTGTATGCTTGAATATACAACCCTTTATGCATGGGATACAACTTCAGAACAGCAGAGCAGACTCTTGTGTTAGGTTTTTGTGTTGCCCTTCACTATTTATTTGCTATCACCAGCTTTTTTGGAAAGTGGGTGCATTTCTAAACATATTGTCTAGTAATTTCTTTTATCTTATATCTTATCTTTAACTCATGTAATGCTGAGAACACTGATACCATTACTTTCTCTAGTATTTCAGTTTCCAAGCCCATCAAGCTGCAAAGAAGGGACTTTAGCTGCAGAAACACAAGGCACTTAAAGTAAAGCAAGCAATGTGAAATAAGTACGTTACTTTACCTCTTACACTGGAGACCTTTGTAAGTGGAGAGGAAAACACACATTCTACCTATATGCTTTTATTAGTCTGAGGCCTGCAGGTATTTCAAGCTATTCAGAACTCTTCATGACTTTCTCCTTCTCCCATCAGTCCATCTTACCAACAGCAGTGGTTGCTGTCCGTCCTCAGCTTATTTAAATCTTTATCATTGTAGCCACATGCTTAGCTAGAATGGTTCAGCTATGGCTGCCCTCCTCTATGAGAAGGAAAAAAAAAAATCAATCCTGCTCTATCAGTCAATAGCCCTGATTTGGAAACCTG